TAATTTCAAAGGCAAAAGTACTTGGTGGAACTTTTTTCCGAAGAACATCTCTCAGTTGATCGGTACAGGGTCCAAGCAGAAGACGACAAGCCCTGTTAGCGTTCGTAGTTTCTTCCGTAGGAGTGTACGGACTATTCGTAGTAGCCATGATTCAAACATATAATGTTTAACAAGTCTACAAGAAAAACAAGTAGTTTAGGTACATGTATACATGTACACTAATGCGCAATTGTATAAGATGTCTTCGTCCTAAAAGATATATCTATTTCATATACCTTCTACGATTTGTAAGTTTAATTATTACTATAATACTTCATTTTTCTTTGTAAAGAAAGGAAAAGGTATAGCTGAATCCGTGAAACAATAAAATCTATTCGTTTTCTAAATAAATTTATGAATTACGTTTTTGTAAGAGGATTCAATATATTTATAACTTTTTTTTATATAATTTAATATGTAATAAATAATTGTCACGAATTCAGCGAAAAAAAAAAGTTTAATTGCAGCACCAATATCAAAGTTTCCATTTCATTTTTTTACATGATAAGTTCTTACTTACCGTGGAAGAAAGAAATATCCAAAACTTGCTCAGTATTCCCAAACCTTCATTAGAATTACATCCTTCTGTTCTCCCAAACTTTGCAACAATATTAAGTGTTTTGTCATGGGTAGCACCTATACACGACAATTACCTTTATTTCTCAGACAATGGACGCAAAGATGTGCGATAAAGATTCTTTGGGGAGTCATGTTTCGGTTATATTGTTACTAAATTAGTATGTATCGATACTTGGCCCAAATACTTCGTTTAATACAAAGGTATTTGGATACTGATTTAAACAAGATATAAAAACTCCAGTCAATCTGAAACAATTGAACAAAAAAAATGTAATGAAGACAATAAGTCTGGCCCTACTTTAACGAATTTGTAATGGCTGATCTTTTTTTACAATGTTCAGTAAGTTAGAATGAATGACGCGTTGTATACCATAGGTTTTTTTTTTTTAAGTTCCACACATTTGTCAAAAGGAGATTATCATATCTTCTCGAGGTTCCCCAGTATAATAGAGGGAAAACATTGTATTGGCGGCACAGTGCATTATATTGATAGGTTATATTTTTTTAATTTTTTATCCAATAGTTTTCAAGTGTAAAGACCATAAACTGAGAACAGCTAGACTAAAGTCAAAAGTTTGATTTTGAATAGCTTGTTATTTACAAGACCAAGAATTTGTAAGTTTGTATAATATTCCAATTTAAAGATAAAGTAAAAATTTTGTTCTCTTATCAAATTTTTTTTTTTTAAGTTATATTGATTTGAATTTAATTTTGTTTTCTGATCTCAATTTATTGTCTCAAGTTAAAGTACAATTTATTCACTCAAACCAATTAATGGTACATGAGGTTCTACAATGTATGTACAATATATACAAGAAAAACAATTTATACAAGATACACGTGAAATGGTGGAAATGCATTCAAATTATGAAGTAACAAAAAAGAAAGAAAATTATGAAGGACAGACTTTTTCATATACTCTATTTATGTGACTGCATAGTTCAATTAATACTTTAGAGTCAGCAGATGGCAACAATTCTGAGAATTTGAAAAAAAAATGCTTCTTTTACAATATTTAATAGGTAGATATTTTTTCTGCATTCTGAAAAAATTTCACATTCTAAAATGTAGTGATATTCATCAGCTATTTGTCCATTATTACACAAATTACATAGTCTATCATTTTCGGAAATCCCAAACCATGGGAGACGATGATTTACTGTTCTTAATTAAGTTAAAATAGTTCTAAATTTTTTGGTACTAAGTCTAACTACTTTTTCATATCCAAATTCTGTTTTGAAGATACTATACATAAGACCTTTAGACGAATCCCGCATATTACTTCGCCACTTCTGTATAAGTACTAATCTTTAAGACGTTGTTCAACTATAGCTTGTAGCCATTTAATATTTAAAAATGCCTGTTCATTCCATATATTTGAGAAGCCACAGCTATTAAGAATAATCTTGATACATAAAATCCAAGGATTCTTATGACTTCCTGAACGAAACTGTTCAAACAAATGCATACATGTATATGTAACAAAAACATTCTTACTTTCAGGGCTTACCAATAATTTTGCTCAAAAGGATATCCTTCTTGTTTAAACTGTTATATACAAAGGGAAGCGACCCGTTTCGCCATATATACCATATACCTAGGAGTACTACTTTTTAGATTAAGAATATATTTCAAAAATTTAAGATGAACGCGTTCAATTATTTTAAAGTTCTCAAAAACCCATATCTTGCATCTATACAAAAGTACTGGAGTGACAACATTATCAAACAAATTAAGTTGGCAATCTTCTGGTAAATTTATTAAATTGGCTAATTCTTCGTATAACTCCAAACATGACTTTTTGAGTTAACTCACATAATTTTTTTTTTATTTTACAGAATGAACTTCGGGGCCACCAACGCTGAGATTTTCTCAAATCTGAGATTTCTCAGAAAATCTGAGTTTTTGTCACCAAACTGTGCCACTATAAATATATTTTTTTTTTAAACTCAGACTTGTCTTTTGAGTTTTTTTCTTATATCTGAGATTTTTCTCAAATCTGAGATTTTTTTCAAAGGTACGTGCCACCAACGTTTTTTCCGACTCAGTTGAGAAAAAAATCTGAAGTTTCTCAGAAAATCTGAGTTTTTGTCACCAAACTGTGCCACTATAAATATATTTTTTTTTTTAACTCAGACTTGTCTTTTGAGTTTTTTTTCTTATATCTGAGATTTTTTTCAAAGGTACGTGCCACCAACGTTTTTTCCGACTCAGTTGAGAAAAAAATCTGAAATTTCTCAGAAAATCTTGAGATTGATGGATACCAGTCTCAAATTAAATCTCAAAGAATTATTTCATGGTAAAATGATCGCAAATGTTAGGACAGTGCACACTTTAATCCATGAACACACTTAAAACATTCAAGCACAAAAAGAAAGCTATACTGACATGCACGAGGACGTGTAAATAAAGTTCAAATGATGACCCTATGGGGTAATTAAGGTGGGATCACAATAAGGAATTAAAGAAAGTTAATTTAATATTGAAATGCACAAAAAATATTATAAAATATTTCCAAGAACCACTGATTGTAAATTGTTCAACTCATGACTGTATCAGGGTTGGCTCGGGAAGGACCACAAAAAAGATGAAAATTGTTAAAAATATATTTGAAAATCTTTTTCTCAAGAATCAAGTACTTAGCATATAAAAAAAATTATTTAAAAGCCTGGGATATATAGTGAATATTCTATCATTATGCCTTTTATAGTACGTGATAACTCGATCAGGTAAGTACGAAAGCCTACAAGGGTCAAATAAGAAAATGAAGAAAAAAAACTAAGTCGTAATAACGACTTTTTATCTCGTTATTACGACTTTTTATCTCGTTATTACGATTTTTTATCTCGTTATTACGACTTTCTTAAGTCGTAATTACGACTTTTTATCTCGTAATAACGACTTTATTAAGTCGTAATAACGACTTTTTATCTCGTTATTACGACTTTCTTAAGTCGTAATAATGACTTTTTATTTAATAATTTGAAATATTTTTTACTTGATCCTTTTAGGAGGGAAACGGAAACGTGCCCGATATAACGGTGTCGTGTAGCTGAAAACGCGATAATAGTTTAGTTATAAAATTGTCAAAATCAGTTAGACCAGAGTTTGACAATTTATTCATGAGAACAATCTCTAATTATTGACAATATTTGTTTACACACTTATAATCTAAAGCAATATGCCGCTATCTTAAATTGAAGACAATAGTGTTACGCATTGCAGAAATCATTTCAAAATATGATACATAAGCGCGTTTCGAAAGCAAACTGAAGTGGGGGGGGGGGGGCTAAACCAACAAAAATGTTTTGGGGCTACTCACTTAGACCCAATTATCAATGCCTGTGCAGACTATATCATGTATTTCTTTGCAAAAAAGGGGTTTAAATTGTTGTTTTAATGTACTTTCTTAAGTCGTAATAACGACTTTTTATCTCGTAATAACGACTTTCTTAAGTCGTAATTACGACTTTTTATCTCGTAATAACGAGATAAAAAGTCGTTATTACGACTTAATAAAGTCGTTATTACGAGATAAAAAGTCGTTATTACGACTTAAGAAAGTCGAAATAACGAAATAAAAAGTCGTTATTACGACTTTTTTAAGTCGTAATAACGAGATAAAAAGTCGTAATAACGAGATAAAAAGTCGTTATTACGAGATAAAAAGTCGTTATTACGAGTATGAAAGTCGTTATTACGAGATAAAAAGTCGTAATAACGAGATAAAAAGTCGTTATTACGACTTAATAAAGTCGTTATTACGAGATAAAAAGTCGTTAAATATTACGACTTATTTTTTTTTCTTTATTTTCTAATTCGACCCTTGTAGGCTTTCGTAGGTAAGCATTGCAGCCCATCGTTTTTTTTTTTTTTTTTTTGGTTTGTTTTTTTTTGTTTTTTTTTTTTTTTTTTTGGTTTGTTTGTTTTTTTTTTTTTTTTTTTTTTTTTTAATCTATAATTTCTACTATGCTCAAGGAAATCGGAGAGCATCTGCATGTCTCAAGACCCATATAATACTTGATACACATGACTGTGTATATGTAACAGTTTATTGAATCTCGTGATTATCATAGACATGCGGTGTTACTGTCCCATCACGTTAAAACTTAAAAACTTTCATATGAATTAATTAAGTAATTTCATTTACAAGTTTAATGAATTATATATGTGTCATGTTGCATGCATAGAACCTTGTTTACATAGACCTATATTTTTGCTGAAATAAAAATAATAAACATGTTTTGCACACATGAAGGTATATTTTTAAACCCATTGTATGATTTGGCTCAAGGCCAAAATATTTAGTTAAAAATTGTCCTGTCAAAAAAGGGCACGCAGAAGTTTATTTCATGTTTGGAATTAAATAAACAAGAAGTTCGTGTGTTCTGTAAGTTTTACATAGACACCGTGTTTATCAAGTTTGTTACGATATATAGCAAAAATATATTTGAGTATATTGCTTTTGTTAGACTCTTAAACGAGTCTGAAATGAAGCGACCCAACTGTGTACGAGTTACTAAATAAACAAAATAGCGTGTGCAAGTGGGTCAAGGTCGTTGCTGAGTGAGGGAAGTGGAAAACTGATCTAGATTACTCCGGAATTCTTGTTTCGTGAAGAAAGAAGTAGAAAACTCTAAAGAACACCCAACACTGTGAGAAAAAAAGTTCCAGGGAATAATATTTTTCTGTAGTTCAACGAGAAATCCATTGACTGTTGTTGTAGAAAATATTTTTCATGATGGAAATTTCCGATAGCGGGGGAGAAGTTAGAATGTATGACGACCCCAAGAAAATTGTCCCTCCTCAGAATCTCGATGAATTAATTAAAGAACTGCATAAAGTGTTTGCCAGTGACAATGTTAATGTGGAATACGTGACTGAATTAATGGCTTCGTACAAGAGTAATCCAAAAGACTGGAAGAAATTTGCAATTTTTGATTTGCATAGGTATAAACATGCGGAAAAAAATCATGTAAACATGGTGAATGATTGTGTTTTTTATTGCTATGGGTTGGACTCAATCGCATCACCTCGGGTCTTTCCATCAGGGGTAAAAAAAATAACCTCGAATGTATTGACATCACCGGATCAGGCGGATGTTAAAAATTTATATATTTTCTGTTTATTCAAATATAGGATAGACGGAGTTAGAAGCCCCTTCTATATAGTATATTTTAAGTAATATCATTACATTGAGTAGAGTTAGACTCCATATTCTCCATATTCAACAGATAAAAGGTCTCCATGCATTTATTTCAAAGATCGTGAAAAGGGAGGGTTGGCATGGTGTCTGCCATATACATTCGAGGTTGTTTTTCTGCTGGTCGGAAAGCCCCGCAAAGTTGCTATTGTGTTTGGACCATAAGTATGGGTGATAGGGTGGTTAGAGCACTCAGACTCATAATAAGTCCCCCCCTCCCCCCCAAAAAATGATTGTCTTGGGAGCAAAACCAATTTTGGTCGAAGACTGTAATCTGGTAATGGTTTCATTGGGCTGTGATTATTAGCCTGGGATATATATATATGGGTAGCTCAGTGACTAATGAAGCAAGGGTCTCAGGTTTGATTCCTGGTCCAGACATGCATTTTAACCTTAAATCCCTTATGGTTAAGGTTTGTAAAATTAAGTATCTTGGATTTTAATTAATCTGTATTTAAGGATGGGCCCTTGTCACAGTCAGAGTGATCTTCTTATCCCTGAGTGTACATGTATAAAATAAACAATTGGTTGTTGTGGAACATTTTATTTTCTTCATAAAGCAGTTTGGAGAAAGAATTTTGGAAAAAGGGAGAGGGGCAGTATTTAGTGGAATTTCTCATTCTTACTTATTAATATGTACAGAACTTTGACAGATTGTTAAATCATAAGCATGTAATGTAGCTTTTGAAATTTTTATATTTACCCAACTTTTGCAAAGAGCAACACAGGGTCAAGAGAATCAATTATTTAAGTCCAATTGAGTCTTTTGTCATTATTTATTTGATTATGGGATGGGACTATGCTGAGAATGAAAAAAACATGTAACTAAATAATTGATTATAATCTTGTTTACATATAAAATAACATTTTAAACATCTTAAAAAAAAAAAAAAATTTAAAATGTTAATAAAATATGTACTACATTGTATTTTCATTTAAGAAAAATTTATAGACAGCCAGCTGTAATTTAAAATGTATATGTCAATGTGGCCCTCTCTGTTTTTTCAACTTGATATTTTCAAATTCCAAAAAAACGGAGAGAGTACTGCATTATATCATTGAATTTTTATTCTTTTCAGGTACACAAGGAATTTGGTGGATTCAGGAAACGGAAAATTTAACCTGATGGTTCTCTGTTGGAACACTTCCCAGGGTTCTTCAATCCATGATCACGCAAACGCTCACTGTTTTATGAAGGTATTAGATGGGAATGCTCAGGAGGAGCTATTTGATTGGCCGTCGGAGGGCGAGGATATGGCCAGCATGTCATCGAAAGGAAAGAATCTGTATAAACGAGACCAGGTGGCATACATCAGTGGTGAGGATTTTGTTTGGTCCCCCCTCTCACCAAATTCCTCCCCCCCCCCCCCCCCCGCTGGATCCAATCCTCCCCCTCCCCCCTGGATCCAACCCTGTGAGGTTATCACCCAGACCCCTAACCCCCAATAAAAACAAAAACACAGCTTTCAGATTTGTTTGAAATATATTCAGGAATATACCCACGTGATTTAATGAATTTATTTAAAATCTGCTGAAATGTAAAACCGAATTTAATGGTTCATACTCAAATCCCCCCATCCCCCACTCCTTAAAAAATATGGTTAAATTCAATCAACTTTGTTGGAAATATATTCAGGATTATATATGCACATGATTTAATGAATTTATTCAAAATCTGCTGAAATGTGAAACCCAGTTTATTAATAAGTGTTCATGCTCAAACCCCATCCCCCCTTCCATATCAGATGACTTAAACAGGCAGACTATGAACCGTGATTGAAACATTATCTACATCATATAACAGAACCAAATATCAGGAATTAAAATTTCTTTCTTGGAAATATCACCTGAATGAATACAGAATATTTTCTCAGAAAAGTCACAAAGTACAATGTAATTTAAATTCATGAATAAGAATTTCTTTCTTGGTAATTTCAAAATAAATGTTTTCTTTTAAAAGTCACCAAGTACAATGTAATTTAATTTTTTTTTTAAAATGCAGATGACATAGGGCTCCATCGCGTAGAAAACCCGAGCCATTCCGACACTGCTGTCACGCTTCACTTGTATTCTCCACCCTTCAGCGAGTGTCGGAGTTTTGATGAGAGGACAGGAAACGCCAACAAAGTACAGGTCACCTTCTGGAGTCAGTATGGAAAAAGGACCCCTTGTGTACGTATTGCATTTATATCTACCGTATATACTCGCCTATAAGTCAGATTTTGGGGAATTAATTTCTGGTCCAAAACTCTATGTCCGACTTATAGGCGAGCTTTAAAATGAATGGTATGATACGAAGTCAGTCCCTCTGACTTCTAAGCTTATTAAATACAACCGACTTATAGTCGAGTATATACGTTATATGTACTGTAATTTCTTAAATGTATGCAAGGAAATAATTTATTGTGTAATTTTGGGAGAAGCACCACTTACGAATTAAAAAATTTTCGCTTCAAAATAAAATCTCTTGATCCATCACCTCCTCTTTGCCGAGGGCTTTCCGTCCACTGTGCTCTCCATGGCAACACAGTTCAAAAACCATGGACTCGATTCTCATTGATATTAAGAGAATAAATGCCACATTTGCCAACTCTTCAGATTGATTAAATCAATAAAGCATTTAACTCTGTATGATCTGTTTTTATATTTATACAGGCTAAATTACCAAGTTCCTGTGTGCCTGAGAACAATTAAACCTCCTCGCATTGAAGAACTCCAAAGGGGTAACAATCCATGTTCTGCTCCAAAATAACCTTGTGTGGTTTATTTAGAGCCATATTATTTTCCTTTGAAAAAGGAATTGCGGTTTAATTTGCCCAAAATTATTGCATTTATTCAAGATATGATAAAATTGCATAATGGTTCCCGTGAAAATAACTTTAATGTATTAGCGTTACATGTATAAATTGTACACATGTATAAAATGTACAAACACAATCCATGATTTGTCGTATAGGTATGCACTTTTTTTTACAAGAATGTACATTATTTATGTATACAGAAAATATTGTATTTAAACAGCACCAAGTCTCTATTTTTCGAGTGATTTGTTTAGCCAATTTTTCTATGATTTTTATCATTCGATGGAGTTGATCCAAGTAAATATTTTGTTATTTATGTCGTATGTTAATTTTTTTCTTCAAGAGGCATGATCTTTGGCCTTTTCATAAAATTACACAACTTAACATAAATTTTCAACTCTTTGGCATTTTTAAGTTGACAGTCAAGAAAAACTAGGCAACAGAATTTTTGGAGTAAAAGATGTAAAAACAATAAAATGCATTTTTAATTATACATGTAGTCTTTTTAAAAAAATTTAAGGGAGGTGGGGGGGGGGGGCTAAGTTACATTATATGCATATGGTAGATAGAGCATTAAAAGATCATTGTTGAATTTTGTTTTTTTACCATGTTTACACTTTGAAGGTAATATCCTCTGCATTCATTACCCGGTTATTAATTGTTAAATGATTAACATTGGTGTATGTGTATTTCTTAATACCAACTTTATTACATGTATGCATATTTTCAATACCAGTACATTGCTGTTATCATTTTTTTTCCCTCAATTTGTTATTTATTTTTTTTCTAAATATTCAATGTATCTGTTATTTTGACCTTGTCAACAATAAGAATAAAAGCAAAGGGGGAAATATTCAAGAAAACCCAAAGAAAGTTTATATAAATGCTACTGTACCTTAAGTTTGACCAGCCCTCTTCTTGTGATGAACTGG